TCCCTCCGGAGTTGAAGTGACAACGCTAAACTGACAGACAGTCAACCAAGTGGCTTCTTTCCTTCCCCAAAAGCTCATCAATTGGAAGTTGGCATCGGTAGAGATGGCAGTAATACCGAAGCTTAGTTTAATTTTCCTAAGAAAAGTTAGTTTAAAAAATAACATTTTATCCTTGTAATATTGGTAAATTATTAAAAATTGAAATTTAAGCGATAGTGCAATATTTTCTTAATAAGCTGACATCTCTAGCCTGCGGCTAGGCAAATGTTGCGTGCCAGGACATCGTTTCCTTTGTCCTTCGGGCGCCGTCTCTCAGCTACGATTTCGTCAAACAAGCGTCGAGTGGGTCGAATGGATCACGCACACTACAGACTTGCATGTCATTCATTGCGACCCGGACGGAAAGCCTGGTCCATACCCTGTTCCCTGTGTCAGTGGAAGGAGCTGATGCCAAAGCTAGAGCCACACCAGCACCAACAACTACAGCAACAAAAGGAGCAGTAACAGCAGCAGGATGTCCTGGCCAAGGAGCCAGGGAAGCGCTTAGGCTGCCAGTCAGCATGTCAGTTGTGTGGCATTTCATTGGTTTTGGCTTTTGGCCCGGCCGGCCCGATGTGATGGCCCCTCCGACCGAAAGTTGCGGACAATTGACAGCTTGTACGGTCCCTTGCAGAAAGTGTCCTGAAAGTATCTTTAATTTTTCTCCTACAGCTGACCGAGTTGTCTTAAAGGGCGTAACTAGCTAGACTTTTGGCCATTAGCTGGCTTTCACTTGCAGCTGGTGCTATTGCAGCTATTTGTTGGCAACTTGATCCTTATTAAAAGTTTGGAGCAGCAAGAAATTTTGATTATGTTGACAAAACTGGGGTGAAGCCCCATTCAGATTCTTTCTTAGAATGTCATTTCGTTGTAACAGGAGACTTTATGAAAAAAATCTTATTATATATTAAAGATACTTTAAAAAGTTGCAGGGGTGTTCCAGACATCAGCTGAGACCTAACATTTTTGAAGGGAAGGAGGTGTTTTAATAGGAGGAGTTTTTAATTTAAACACTTATGATAAAGTATTCGAACGAGAGTATATTCTCTATTGCTTGGATTATTATTTCTATGATAATCTTTTGTGCGAAAAAATCATGTCAAAGCTGGAAAAATGCTGTCGCAATTAAATTACTCCATAAAGATTGTGAATTGCTTTTGTCAAGAAATGTCTCTAAGAGCCCGAAAGGTCGGGGGATCTGATGGGGGATTCTTGGCACTACTGAAGTACTTCTCCCCTAAACTGGCGCACTTTGCATAAATTTCAACTTGAAGCATTGCACTTACTTGACACATCCAGCCACCCACCTGGCGGGGCGACCTCCTCACCTCATTCAACTTTGTTGTTGTTCATTTGGAAAAAGAAAGTTTTGTCTTTGGTCTTGCTCTCGCAACAATTTACCGTTAAAAGCTCAACAATGTAACACTGGTTTTTCACTTTTCACTAAGTACCGGGTTTGTGTTACACATAAAAAAAAAAAAATGGAACGCTGGATATATAGCCACAGGGTGCAGGGGCCGAGCTGGGGGTGCCGTTGAGTAATCTTCTCAAGTTCTCCCACCGTCTTTTGTGCAACGTGCGAAGTTTGTCACGCCGTCAGTGAAATTGCGAAAGCAACGTTGCAACTGCAACAGCAACAGCAACATCAACAGTAAAAGAAACAGCCACACTTTGTCTGTGTGTGCAGTGCATCCGTCCGGTAATCCACTTGCACGGAGAGACATCAGCAAACACCTGGCGGAGGAGCTCAGCCAGGTGGGCAATGGCTGGATGGCTGGGTGGCTGGTTGGGTGAACTTGGGTGGGGCAGTTGCCTTGTCAACACAAGTTTTGCATTTGGCGATGTGTTTTTGTTCTGTGTCCCTTATTTTTTGTCCCTTTCAAGTTGTTAAATGAGTTTTCATAGTTTTTTTGGCGGGGAGTGAAGCTGGAGAACCCTTTCCCTGCCAGAGTGTTGTGGAAAATTAATATTTTTCCTTAACCCATTATATAAACTTTGTAGTGCCACTGGGGTGCATTTGCTTAGCGGGAAAGTTTTATTTTCTGGCGGGTTTTTTATTAAAATCCTCGACAAAGTAACATTTTCGAAAAGAAACTTTTCCAGCGTAAAAGTTGTAGTTGTCGAGGGACCTGCAATTTATTAGGAGACTACATAATGATATCATGTGTTCACGACTGTTTTCGGGAAATGAAGCAATAGTGCTTAGGAATTTAATAGAAAAAGAAAGTTTGTTGTAGTTACTATTTGCTTTAAGCCCTGATTAATCAAAAAGCAAGCTATTAATCAATATTCATAACCTTTAATCAAGCTAATAGCCTAACCAGAAAAACAACAAACATACTGGACCATTATGGCCATCGGGAGCATCATTGACCATAATTAATCAGTGGAAATATAATAACCGTCATTAAACTAAACAAACACATTTTCCCATTCAGAGTTCGTCGCTCGCATAAATTTCAATACGCAACCGAGGACATCACGCTTAACCCATGATCACCCCAAGGACCACCCACCTGAATACATTTCCAATTAACTGCGGGACTGTGGGTTGGGTCGGTATCTGCAGTACGTTTGCCACTCTGGTGTCTCTGGGAGTTTGGTAAATAATAACACCCCGGAAAATGTTTAATGATATGAAATTAATTCGCAAATATCAGCGGCTTCCCTGCCATAAAAGTGAATAGTAATGGCATCCAATACCTCCGGATGGTACCTTCGAGAGTTTTCATGGGTGCCAGTAGGTGAAGGTGGTGGTGCCGCCAGGTGAAAATGTAAATGATATGCGATGATATCTGCCTCCAGCTGAGCGGAATAAATTGACTCTTTGCCGACTAGCCGGCAGACAAAAATCTACGGAGGCAGTGCTATTGACAGCTCGGCAGGAACAGCTCTGAACAGAGTTGCAACATTTGTATTTGTTCGAAAGTCAATTTAAGACCCGAAAAATTTATGCTATTGTCGATTTTCATTTGCATGCCAGTCACACAGTCAGAATACGAGCCCGAACAAGGAAATCGAACAAGAATACTGCCAAAAGATGGGGCAAATGAAGAAAACTTCCACAAATTATGTTGTTGCCAGAGATTTTTATGGCCCATGGCAATGGCCAGACCACGCACACACACAAATTTAACGCCCATTTCCCGTTAACACACACCCCCTTGAACAATTCCCAGCCATAAATACAATATTTCCCGCAACTTTTGGGCCAAAACAGCAACAGATTTGATTTTACTCAGTTTCGACTTTGGTTTCGATTTCAGGCCGAAAATTTTTATTGTCCAGCACCGGGTGTCGGGCAGCGAGCATCGAGCAGAAGGAAAAAGCGACGAAATACGCATGAAATTTGATTTGCTTCATTGAATTGATTTCATTTCATTTCATTTGTTTTGATTTGTTTCCCCAAAATACGCAGGAACGCAAATTGGAAACCGGACTAGAGCTGAGAAATCGACCCAAGCCCGGACCCGGACCAGGGATAACAAAAACTCTCACCATTCGCATTGGAGTGTTGAAATGAATACATTTTGGCCCAGTTTTGTGGGCGTGACGAGGGGGTCGTGGCTGGGATTTGGGATTGGGGGGCGTGGCATTGTGGTTTATGGTGATGCCGTTGAGTGACATTGCCGGCCACAGATGCTTGGTTGTCCTGGGCCTGCGCCTGACTTTTGGTAGTAGTTTATTTAGTTGTCGGAGCGATCAACACTTGCCAGATTGCTTTGGCATTAAAGTGTCAGCAAATATTCGGGATGGCTGTGGAGTGGAGTGGAATTCCAGGCAATGGCAATGGCATCTGGCAGCTGAATGCCCGGTATGGGGGAAGCCAAATGGTTCTGTTCCGGCTATGATTCCCCCACATGCGGCTTAATGCGCCCCAAAGAGCCACAGCTTCCTGTGCACCGAGACCTTTTATTGATGGCTTCTAACCTCAGCTTTGTCAAAAGGTTTTTTTAATAAAAATGTACAAAAAATATTAAAATAACTCTATTGTTTGAATATTAATAAATTTAAAAATATATATATATTTTTCTCCAAGTGTAAAACCTGGTAAGCTAGGTGAAATCCGCACCAAAAAGAAACAAAAGCCGCCTCTCCATGGAAACCCTTTTCCTCCGTCTGTCAAAAGCGGATGCCAAGAGCTCTTAAAACATGGCCGACCAATAAACTGGCCAGCTATTTGGACACAGTTTTCTATCTTATAGATACATCAGATTAGGCCAGATCATAAAGCCAACTAGCAATAGTTTCTGTTTATTGCCTTTTCCTGATAACTCCACCAGCAAGTGCCAATCGAATGTATTATTTTGGGATATAGTTTTCCAATAAAGGACACAAATCACCAAATATCCTTATGGCTTAGTTAACCGCTCCTCGGTGAGCCCTTTAGCTATTGACTTTTCACGCTCCAGGGGGAATCCTTTGTGTTGCCAACTGATGACCAAATTAATACGCTGACAGCCGACATGTATTTATTGCCATTCGGAGAAGGAGAACGGAAAACTTTAAACTTTATGTCTTCGCATATCCTTTGTTAATTCCCCGATGAGGGCCCGAAACTAATCATTATTGAAAACGTGTGCTGGAAAGTTTTGTAATGCGTCCTATTGTGTCACGCCCGGATCCATTGTCACCCGAAACGGAAAACAGAAAGCCAGGGAATTGGGAAAAGAAAATACAAAACTCAAAAGTTATAACGAAATAGCTTTGGTCAAATTGTTTTACAAGCCAATTGGGTTTGGTGTCCTTTTTTTTGGCCTTGCTATACGCTGCCTTTCCAATGTCCTGTGGCTCCGGACGGTTAGATTGCCGCAGAAAGTCCCCAAGGCGCTCGGCCGAGAAAGTGTCAATGTGCCACAGTGTTCTATTTGAACAGGGTTCTGGGTTTGATGAACTTTAAAATAAAGCTGCTGCGGAAAGTTTAGTGGTAAAAGTTGCTACCCTGTCTATTTAAAAAGTCTTCATTTAGAAAATATAGCTTTTCCCTGTTCATTGGACTCCCACGGTCTCGGTTCTGGCTGCTGCTGCTGCTCTTGCAACGCGTTAGCCGTCTGGCTCTCCCCGCTGATGGATCTTCGATCCCTGTCAACCTTTTGCCTCGCCTCGGACGCCGCACATGCGGCACTATAGGCTGCTCTTTTCGTGTTCTCGTAGTCCAACTTGGCGGATCGCAGGTGTTCGGATAGGACCTCTGCTCGGTTGCGAGCCGCCTCGACTAAATCCATTTTCTCACTCAGCTCCTGCTTGGCCCCCGTCGCTGCTGTCTCGGCGTTGCTCAGTGCCTCCTGGGCAACCTTAATGGTTTTCTGGAGCGTTTCCAACAGCATTCTAGTCTGCTTCGCGGATGTGGTAGCCGCGTTCAGATTGACCTGTGAGTTCACCAAAGAAGCGCTTTCTTCCTGGACGACTATGACCGCCTCCCGCACTTCTCCCTGGAGCTGTTCGACCAACTGCTCTTTCCCGGCCAGAGCTGCCTCTGCGGCCTTCGCCGCCTGTACCGCCTTGTCGGCCAGCTGGACACGCACTTGGTGGGCGGCGGCCATGGCTGCCGGCTGCTGGGAGTCCGAGGCCATCTTGGCTTCCTGGGCTGCCTTCTGGGCAATGATGGTGGAGGCCTCCTTGGAGTTCCGGGGCATGTGTTCCTCGCTGGAATCCATGTTCTGGTGCTGTTGCGAGCAGGGGCGGTGGTAGAGGGAACTGCCGCCGACGGAGACGAGCAGCAGGTGGCAGATGCACTGGAGGAGGAGGTGACCCATGGCTGGAGGAGACCGTGGTGCAAGGCGCATAATTATGTGAGCCTTCAAAGTTGCTGCAAGTTTGCCTTTTCAGCTCCGGCTCGAACATTTTTACATTTTCAAGTAGTTTCTAGCTAAGCCAACGTGCCCGGAGTTCTGTGGAATAAAATGTTTAGCAAAGTTTTTGTTACAAAAAACGGGGGCGTACTCGGAAAAAAAAACTTGGAACTGGCAGGCGCACAGGACCTGCCATCGCATAACTTTTCCGCGCAATTTAACTCAACATTCAAGAGTTTCCCATTTTTATTTTCTTTTGTGCTTTATTCACTTGGTTTTTTAGTCCCCTTTTCCCTGACATGAAAAGTAGACTAACTACGCATGTGGCAACAATTTATTTTTTTGTTGGTCGGCAGCCGCTCTTGTTGTTGAACAGGAATTAATTGGGTCGTCAAAGTCCTTCAGCCCCGATAAGCTTTCGTCCTTATCGAAATGGCTGACAAGGAGCGGTCGAAAAAAGAGCAAAATAGGGAATAGGAAAGCCCAAGACGATTGCTCGGGTCATTTGTGCGTTGATCTGTTAATCCGGAAAGGGTTTGCCAACTTCCCCAAGGAACGAAAAGCCTCGGATTTTCCCCCCATTTGATTGAGAGCCCGAAGAGAAAGCTCCGCCATTAAGCGGCTAAGTTTGTTATGGCCACAAAAAAGGGTTCTTGGCCGCAGCCTTGCTCAGTTTCCGGATCCACAAGGCGTATACGTAATAAAATCACAAACTTGAGTTTAAGTCCCCACACACAAGACCATTTCTCTCCCAATTAGAGTTAACAGATAACTCGAATAGTTTAAACTGTGAATGCGGCCAGTACGTATTTGTGTGCCTCTGCTGGCCAGGACACTCTTGTCCTTGTCCATGGACCTCGACACTTGCATGCGCCTTTTTGGGCATTCAAGTGCCTGTGCGGAAGTGTTCCATCCCCTGCCCATCGCAATGACACTCTGAGCACGAAACGAGGGCGGTAAACCGCAAAAAGCATCTCCTAGAAGTGTTCGAAGTGCATGAAAATTTCGGTCAGCTAAATGATTTTTTTGAACACACTCACCAAAATGAGGGCGAGGTTTTGGGCTTAGATGCTAGTAAAATACTATACTTTTGATGTTTCTCTATTGAATCAAGGGAAATGCAGTTGCCAATCCCGCATTTAAGAGTTCCAAGCCTTGTGTAAAGACACCAATATATCAAGCTCAAAGAAAACTCGGCGATCTGATCTTGCCTGCTTTTGATTTTCTTGCCACTCAAATATCCTGTCCCACATTGCAATGGCCCCGGTTCATGGGTCCTTTGCCACTGCTATGTCCCCGAATGCTCCGTCAGGGCCTCTGCCCGCAAATTCAATTTCCTTTGCAGCCAGGACATCGGAATGTCCTGGGCCCTGCTAACTGACTCAACGTCTATGTGGTGAGTTGGCGATGTGCCGATGTCATTGGGCTGGGAGCTGGGCTCCCAGCAATATAGACACACATGTATATTTGCACGTACGACTATATATAATATTTATGCCACCGTAAGTGCTTATTGATGTCAGATCTGAAATTGGAATCTGCTCGGCCCTTTGTTCTTATTTCATGTGGATGCACACTGCAGTTAAGGTCTCGTTTTGGGTTTCAATGTTTTTGTGGACTCTCAATTAAGCAAGTTGGCATTTTGACATGTCTGAGCTGTGGCCGAAACAGAAACCGAAACTTTTGCCCCGAAAAATTGGAAATATACCCATATGTATGTATGCGGGTACACTCGTTCTATATGCACACGAAATATTTATAAAGTCAGACACAAGGCTCTCGATCCCCGGAGATGCAAACGAATCTCGTTTGCGAGTGAGTCATCCTGGAAAGCGGACCAACTGGGGCCGTTGAGGCCACAGTAAAATTTAATTTTAATGCATAAGCAAATTGAATTTAAGCAACAGGAAAATTGTTCGTCTGGCCACAAAGGTGCCGTCGTGTGCGGGAGGTAAGAGCATTTGGCCCGGAAAGGGGAAAGCTGACTAAAACCACTCGTAGTGTTTCATGTTGGCAGTTTTCACCTGAGAGACAGAGCGAGGCAGTGTGGGACGGGTCAGGAAAATTCTCAAAGCAACCACAATAACCGGAATGTTATACGAAAAATGTTAAGTGGAGAATACTTGAAAAATTCTAGTTAAAGAGTAGGTAAAAGATTTATTCTAGAAAATCTAAAAAATTCAAGATGACTAATATTAAAGTATAGATTAAAACAACAAAGGAAAGCTTACTTCGGACAGAGTTAATATACCATTGGAGTAAAGTGCCAGCTTATGTTAAAAGATCGTACCGGATGGGTTACATTCTGCAAATATATATATGGAAATACAGTATAGTTGGCCATCGTTGTTTCAACTATGGCAATTACAAGGTATATTCGGTTATATTTGCAAAAAAAACAACAATTACAACAACAAAAATGATAAAAAAAAAAAGACAACAAAAAGAAAATAAAAAATAAATTTGAATTTTTCCGATTTTTCGGGTTTGCTTAAGTGCAACCTATGAGAATCGAGGAGGAGGGCGTTTAATTTTAATAATTTATTTTAAAATATTTTATTAAATAGTTACCAAATTATCTTCATCTTCTGGATGTTATCGTACGCAAAAAAAATTGGTAAGATTGTACTCTATTACTCTATTATTGTAATCTATTACGAACTTCTAGACGCCCATATTTTAAATTTATAAACAAACATATATTATTATTTTTTATTTGATAAAAAAATTAATAGAATATATAATATTTGGCCGATCTCGGCCGTTGCGACTTTTATCATGCATGCAAAGAAAAGAAGGGGTGTGTGATAGTTAATGGCTTTGAAAATGAGAGACTAGTTTGCATACAAACAGATGGACATGGTTATAAGAATCAGGAGCTTATCATTATCAAGAAATATATACATTATAGGGTCACAATTATATGTTGCACCATTTTTACCATACTTCTAATACCTTCTGCCAGGATGAAAAAACCCTTTTAAACTATGACCTTGCGTAAGTTTTATTTCGGTAAAATGTGATAAAATGAATTGGCCCACTACTTCTGACCAATCATCCAAACGAACTCCTCGTAGTTGATCATGCCGTCGCCGTCGAAGTCGGCCTCGCGGATCATCTCATCGATCTCCTCGTCAGTGACCTTCTCGCCCAGATTGATCATCACGAACCGCAGCTCAGCCGGCGAAATGAATCCGTCGCCATCGCGGTCGAAGATCTTGAAGGCCTCGCGCATCTCCTCCTCGGTGTCGGTTTCGCGCATTTGCTTGGCCATTATTGTGCAGAATTCGTTGAAGTCCATCATGCCATTGGGGTCGTTGTCTATCTCGGCGATCATGTCCTGCAGCTCGGTCTCTGTGGGGTTCTGGCCCAGTGAGCGCATCACAGCCCCCAGCTCCCGGGTGGAGATCTTGCCGGTTCCATCCGTGTCAAACTGAGTGAAGGCTTCCTTGAACTCGGCCACCTGTTCCTCCGTTAGGTCGCTCATGGTTAAAATTTATCTAAGAATATATTTCCCAGATGTGTTATTTGTTCGGAAGCTCAAAGCTGGTATGGAGAAATCGAGTGAATTTGGAATTGGAATTTATGAAGGCAACTGGGTCGAAATGGTTTTGAGACTGAAATGTCAAGCTTCCCAGCCCCCTAAAGCCAAGCCTGCCCAGGTTCCTCATGTCTCGGACATCATGTTAACGAAACGAACGTAGTCGATGTTTCCCTCAATATTGGAGTCGGCATCCCGAATGATTTCCTCAATCTCGTCCTCGGTCAATTTCTCGCCCAGATTCGTCATAATGTGGCGGAACTCCGATTCGGCAATAAAGCCGGTACCCTCCATGTCGAAGACCCTGAAAGCAGCAATGATCTCGTCCTCGGGGGTCATGTTTGCATACTTCTCGGACATTACGTACAGGAAGTCGCTGAGATGCAGCTCCCCCAGACCCTCCGGATCGATTTCGTTGGTGATGTCCTGCAGCTCCAGGTCCGTGGGGTGGTAAGCTACACTCCGCATGAGGGGTCGCAGCTCTTTCATGAGAATAACCTGGTTATTTTCATGGTCGAATAGCGAAAAGGCCGTTTCCAGGTCCTTGAGCTGCTCGTCGGAAAGGTTGTGGCTGCGGATTATTCGCTCCTCGGGCGGCGGAGTCATAAAATCCGTAAAATCCATGACTTAGGCTTAGGGGGAGGGACCTGGGAAATTTTGTAGGTCACCAAATGCTTACTTCAAATTTTTAACTAGTTTTTACTGAAACATTTTTGCTTTGAAGTATAAAACGAGGTAAAACTAAGACACAGTTCAGGTAAAAATACTTGCAATTACGAGTAATAGACATTAATACAAAGTCATAGTTAATAAAGGGTAATAAATAAATAATTTTATTTGTAAAAATCACTATTTTAAACAAATAATTTTCAATCGAGGTTAATAAATGTGCATCCAATTGTCTTTAAACATATTCTTGCTTCAGCCATGGAGGAATATTATGCTCCGAGTTGAGTCCATCCGTCCTTTAGGATTTCTAAATAAAAATAATGCCTGAGTGTATCAAAAAAAAAATAATATTTAAATTTTAACCTTTGTCCTTTTTTTAGGGTATTGTGTTTAGTCCTAAGTCTCCATCATCATTTGCACAAACTTGACATACTCAATGTTCATTTCCGTGTTGGCGTCTGCGTCGCGGATCATCTCCTCGATTTCATCCTCGTCCATTTCCTCGCCCATGTTAGTGATTATCTGACGAAACTCGGTCTCAGGAATGAAGCCCTTGTCCTCCTTGTCGAAGACCTTGAACGCAAGTATAACTTCATCCTCGGGTGTCATGTCCTCGTACCTCTTAGACATGATGTAGAGAAAGTCGCTGAGATACAGCTCACCGGAGTTGTCCGTGTCGATTTCAGTGATGTAATCCTGCAACTCGTTTTCGGGGGGGTTGTGGGCCACGGCCCGCAGGCAGTCCTTTAGATGTTTAATGGGAATCACCTTGGTGTCATCCTTATCGAAAAGTGCAAATGCCTCCTCAAGGTCCTTCACCTGCTCGTCATTCAAGTTGTGGGTGTGAATGACTCGCACTTCCGGCGGCGGTGTGCTGAAATCGTAATCATCCATGGCGAACTTAAAATACTTTTAGATTACAAATTTTTTTCAAATAAAATGTGAATTTGGTTAATTCTGGGCTACAATTTTGTCATCAACTACAAATTTTGAGTCATATTTAAATGAATCATATTTCGAAAGCCTGCTGAGGTATTAAAAGAGTAAAATTTTTTTTAATAAACAAGGAATTTTATTCATACAGAATTTCGATTCAAAAAGAATGAATGAAAAAGGAATGAATTGAAATTTGAGGAAAAAATGACCTCTACATATTTAGGAATTGTGGTTTGGTTGAGGATACTGGGAGCTCATGGTCATCATGGCCAAAAATTGTTCACAACTTATCCGGCCATCTTTCTCAGAGTCCAATAGCTTTCTCACGGCCAGAACATCGTTGGACAAGTCCGTGTGCTCCAACAGTTTCAGAAGATCCTCTTCGGTTATGTAACCGTCACCGTCTTTGTCGAACATCTTGAATACCTGAAGGTTCTCGTTCCGCTCCTCGTGCTCATAAAGCGCCATTATGTAGCAGAACTCCTTGAAGTCGATCTCGCCGTTGCCATCCACGTCGGAGGCGTTGAATATGTCTTCCAGCTCTGCGTCTGTTGGGTCTACGCCCATAGAACGTATCATGGAGCCCAGCTCCTTCACAGTTACCACACCACGTTCGTTTTTGTGCAGTTGGTCAAAACTATGATTGTAGTCCTCCAGTTTCTGGACATTCAACTCGTTCATGGCGAGGTAAAGCGACTTTTCCACGTCCGACAGTTCCTCCATGTTCAATTGGCAATTTTTTCGGGAATTTTGAAATTTTTTTAAAATTTTTACAAATCGAAATAGTAGCTAGCAGGTAGGGAAATAATGAAAATTTTAGTTTTAATTTGTCAAAAGAAAAGTCAAAGAGAAGCAGGAGATTTAAGCACTATAAGATATTTAAATGTTACATCTTTAAGCGAGCTTGGAACCATCCTCTACGAGGGTATAAAGTTTGTTAAACAATTTGTGACCATCAGTAAGTGACCACATCCCGGGAAGAAGAACTCGACAATTAAATTTACAAAAATTCTCCGAAAATGATTGTACGGCCTTCGGGCATGGCTTCAATTGCTGGGAAAGTAGCAAAGCATGGGTAATTACATTTTTAATTAAATGCGACGCAATTTGTTTCTTTTTTTATTTTGGTTTTAATTTTATTTATTTTTTTGGAAGGTTGTTTTTTGGTGCATTTATACAACTGTTGAGGCAGCCATTTCACTGGCACTGCTGGTGCTCTCGGGCATTAAGTGTGCTTTTATATTAAGCTTTACGTGCTAATAGGAAAATTATCCAATGCGAAATTTCAAGTCATTTGCATAATTCCGGAGAAGAGGATGCCATATCCTTGACCATCCTTTCTCACACGTGCGCCCATCAATGGGAGTGGCCAGCTAATGAGGAGCCAAGGCGGGGATTGTGGCTGGAGCAGTCAGGTCAGAGTTTAGCCACATGACACTACGACATGGGATTGCCAAGGAATTTCTCTGGACAATTCGGCCAACAGATACCCGGAATATATGCATACGAATGTGTGGCAAATGCAGCTAGGAATGTGCCCGTTGTTTGACTTTGATCAGGCATACACAGGACGAAAGGCAACAATCCAAACGGCAACAGACCTTCGGGGGATTAGAGTAATTTGCATTTCTGTAGCGAAATGGGACACACAATCCGACGGAAGGGTTGGCTAGGGCCAATCTCTTAATGTACGAGCTGGGCCAATGACTCCGTATGATAATGCGCATACGCCCGAGTGAACTGCTCTTTGGCCTCAAAAGGCCCGAACTAGCAATGCCATTTGACGTTTTACCATTTTAAGTTGATGCTTTAAGGAAATTAAATGGTGCAGTCAACACTTCATAATTTGTATCTTTAAACTAAAGTTATTCCAATTCGAAGCAATCGGCAGCGCTTGGTCTCTGACGCTCTCAAAGATATCGCTCCAATTACGGATATGACTGCGGATTCTGGCCAACAACCACAAACAATGGCCTGCTCCGAAATCCAATTGAGTGGCCACTGGATGTTGAATGGCGGGCAGTGGCAGACAGGCATCGACCAACAGCCAGAAATCGAATCCGAGGCGCTCAGTCGCCGGCCTGAGGTTTCAGAGTAATGTCGTTCAATCAAGTCGGACTGCAGTCAAGGGTTGGGACGGCTCTGGACGGGGCCTGAACTGGCGTAGATTTGTCTATGCCAAAACGTTTTCAATATGTGAGTCCACAGTGCCTGTACTAGTGCCACTGTACAGCTGCCCATGCAGTGCCTGATGGGTATCCCAGCTGGACTCGGATCCGGAATCGGTCACAAGTGCAGCAACGGAAATGAATTATAGCCAACGGCAATCAGTTGTGGCCCACAATGAGAACAGGCATTTGTGAGAAATGAAAGCCTTCAGTGCTTTCTTTTGTTTTCACATTCAATCTCCTCCGATGCAGCTGTCACTTTTCATTAATGGCCAACTGTCTCCTCGGCCCTAGACTGAGTTGCTTGGGCCGTGAAGTTGCTTTTGCATATCAGATGGCCCCACTCCTATGACCTTTACATTGCGAGAATTGAGTTAGTTTATGGCGAAGATGAACCTTTTATTTGTAGAGTGTGCCAAAGTAACTTTATTCTATATACACAAACACATATGTTTAAAATTTAAGGTTTCTTTGTTTGTTCTATGTTTTTTCTCAGTGTTCTGCTTTACAGTCAGTATGCCAGACACACCGTACTTAAGCCAGATGGCAAAGAAAGAAGTGCGGAACTCTTGCTTCTTTGGCTTCTAGGTTTAGGTTTTTGTTTGTTTCTATTCCAGGTTGATGGCACGTGCGTGAAGTGCCCTCGACCCAGGTGAGACTGTGGGAAGGTGTCTGAAGACGACTGGTTGATTCGACTGAAGTGGAAAAGCAAATAACCAAGTCAATACCAGTATGTTGCCCCGAGGAAAAGTGTACAGCAAGTAAAAGCATGGGGAAGCATGGGTAAAGGCAATGCAAAGTTATCTTTAAGACTTTTTATAATCCCAACTCAATTGAGAATATTTAATAATGAATGGTTTCCAGCTTGAATTACATTGAAAATTATTTATAAAGACTAGGATTATAAACAGGAATTTTAAAGAAAATGCAGTCTTAGAGGATTTCGCAAATATTTATGCTTTTCTCATTCATATTATTTTAAAAGCATTCTGTGAGCAGCATCAAATCCGAAAACTTAAAATCCAATCTGGGATATAACTTTGTTTGACTTTTGTTCGCCGCCTCGTATTTTGCCCCATTTTCCTGCACTTTCCTAAGATTTTCCTTGTTTGTTTTGTGGCGCAAATTGCATTCTGTGGGTGTCAACAAAACGCAACTCTTTGGATCGCCTTTGCTTGGTCATGACAGCATGAAACATGATTAAATTACTCATACGCCTCGTGTGTGTGCGCTCGGACAACACACTTCTGTGGCGTTATTGTTATTGCTCTTGTTGTTCCAGCTCTCATTTAGTTAATTAAGTTTTACAACAGCTTGCCACATGCCACACTGCCCGACTCCTGTCCACCCCTTTAATTAGTTTTTAATTATTTCAGAGTTTTTCGTTGAACGCTTTCCAAAAATTTCCGGTGCGCTTTTCGGTCGAGAGCTTCGGTTTTGGCCTCCGACACTGCTGCTTTGAGTTTGAATTTTACTTAATTTTATTTGTATTTCGCAAGTATTTGCACACCCTCACAAAAAAGGACTAAAACTAGAGCTTTGTTCATTTAGCACATTATTTCTACACGCTTTGTTTTTACTGCAGTTGGTTTGTTTGTTTGTTTCAGCCAGTTTGTTCTCAGCCGGCCAAAGTTTTATGCAAGCCCATTAGCCTAATAGCCCGAACAGCAGTCGCCCAGCTTTATTTAGTATAATTAACTTTTGTTTTAGATTAATATGGCTAGAAGATAAGCCTATTTGGGCCTGCTTAGCCTAACTATTAAGTGAGGGATTTAAATTCGATTAAAAAAAAGGCTCATAAAAAACCATAATCAGAGCCACTTAAAAAAATAAAAGAATCTCTTCTTTGTCTGTGTTTTAATTACCAGGCTCACATTGTTGTTTAGTTACCAAACATTTAATATTTTTAATAAAATAATTAACTGTTTCTGTCTCTGTAAATGAAGTTATCTGTATGAAAATTAATGATTATATTCCTTTATTCCCTTTTTTTTGAGTAGTTTGGTCATCAGTCCAGTAAACACATCCTCTGTCAACTAGGCCATTTTTAATTTAATCCTGGTATGAATGGTTGGTGTAGGACGAAAGCGGCTTGCCCAGAACAGAACAATTATTTACACGGCCTGGTGTATGGCGTTGAGCATAAACTACCATTATACAATAAAATTCGCAATAAACCAAATGGAAAGCGGAAACTGCCGGCTCATGTGAAATGCATGCAAGGCAGAAACGTAAACAAAGCCACAATAGAGAACAATTCAGCAACAAAGCCAAACGAAACGTTTTCATAACTCAGATTGCAAATGCAACCAAGGGGGCTAGAACTAGGCACAAAGAAAAGTGAAACAAACATGTTACTGCCTCAAAATAAACACAAAACTAGTGCGCACTGGCTAAATGGATCAGTCTTCTCTTGAATCTGATGCACTCTAAAAAATCGTATTGCCCATCCAAGGCTTTTTCCAACAGCTTACGATTATTTATTTCAAATTAAAATACCACCTTATAACCTGCCATAAAAATAAGCCTACTTTTACAAGGGTGTCCATAAAAGACTGCGGCCGGACTTCATGTTTAGTCCGTTCCGGAAAGGATTCTTTAGCGCCATTTAGGCCTATTTTTGGACCCATAGCTTCTTCCTCCTGGGGAGTTTCCAGCGGACGACTGCAAGTGCCTTCATCGACTTGGCTCTCATCTTTCCAAAAGTCATGGGTGGTATCCTCGCAGTTAGCTGTAAAGCAAATACCAATGAGTTTTGTTATAATGAATAGAATAATTAATCGACCAACCAACATACCCTCCGTCAGATGTTGGCCTAAAAGGCCGAAGCCGAGTAATGTCAGCACAACCAATGTATGCAAGCCCATCGTTTGAAAACTAAGTATTCCAACTATTATGAAACAACTTTTTATGGTTGGGAAATTCGTTTCGTTTACGCTTTAATTTAAAAGTGGTAGTGACATTTCCTGGTCGCATGGCTTTGTATAGAAAAGTTTTCCAACTAGCCGTGAAGTGCATAATCTTGTTAGTCTTCTGCTCGGCAACTCTATTTTTAGCTGCTCATCTTGCTGCTGATTTATCTGTAATCCAACTTGCGTTTCAGCCACTTAGGACCACAATCTGCCTTTTGCCCCTTTGCCACTTTTGCCACTTCTGTGACCTCTTTCGAGCCACCTGTAACAAAGTTGGTTCAATAAAGTTTGCCCTCAGCTTTTGGCTTGCCTTTGATCATCGCATCACATGCGTCTAAAGTGGCTTTCGTTCTCTGCTAACGCTTTTAAAGCCAAAAGCCTCTTCTCCGCCAAGGCGGCCGAAGAAAATACATATTCCGACTAAGCCACTTTTCATGGCAGTCTCTTTGAAGTGGGCTTTTATTTCGCCCCGACGGCCCAACCACCCTTCGAAAGGTTCAACTGTATCAGCTGTTTATATTTAGGTTCGTTAATTTATTGCCTGTCAGGATGCTGGTCAGTTCGTTTGATAAACGGCTTAAGCCGTTGGCCAGGAGGCTTCCCTTTAATTTCCCTGCCTGTAGTGCTTTCAATAATTTGTTTTTGCTCTCAGCGTCACTGTAAAAAATGTTATTAAATTTGCATTACATTTAATATATTAAACGTTTTTAAAAAAAAAAGTATGTAATAGTTTCGTAAAGGTACCTGAAAAATCACATTGAGACTGATGAGTAACTCAAAAAGGATTCAGTTTTTTACTGTGTCCTTGAGCTCAACAATATTTGCTTGTTGCAGCAAAATTAAAGCCATGAAGCTGCTCTCCAACTGTAGGAAGTTGTTAGTTGCTGGCTACACGAAAAACAGCAACAGCAGCAGTTACAGAAGCGGCAATTGCAACAGTGGCAGAAACATCCAACTTGTAGTGTTGCTGGAATTTTGTAGCTGCTGCTGCTGTTGTTGAGTGCACGGCGCCGTATGCAATTATCACCTGAAAAAAACTACCGGGGCCAAGAGTGCTTCTCCTGGACACACAAAAAAGGACGAAAAAAAAAGAAATTCTAGGAGCAAATTCTCCCTACATTATGTGCTCAAAATGTAAATGTCATTTGTGTGTCGAGCATGAAGCAGCAACAACAGCAACTGGCTGGGCCAAGTGTTGCAGCATTTGAAGGAATGTGTTGCCAGTGTTTTCACTGAAGTGGCACCCGAACTAACAGGACAACCAGGACGTCCAGGAGCACCAGTACAACACTCTATGAATAAATGTTAAAGCACAATCGAGAGCCGTAAATTCTGAGCAGTCATCAGCTGAAATAGGTGTAAGGAAAACTAAAAGAAAAACCAGGAATAAGGAAAACAATGGAAAAGAATCGAGAATAAAGGCAACGGACGAATTCTGCCCGATGGGAACAATGGACCGGGGAAATGTCTGTCATGAGGCATGAGCCCGAAACAATGCAAAGGAGAAAACTCTAATTGGTATAATAAAATGTCATAAAACGAAAGAGCAGTGCAGCAGGAGCAGGAGCAGCACCAGGGGACAGAAGCACAAGCAGAAGGATCCAATGATTGGTTGGAGTCAAAGATTCAGACTCGCCAGGGACAATGGAAATAACTATATTGATGATGTCCCCTGACAGAGCCATTCCAATTGATTGCAGCAGCTATGCAAGGAAGGCATTTTGATTTGCTCCGATTAGGCAGTCAAAGTAATTTTCTCATTCAAACAAAGGCATTTCTATCAATTTAGGACAATTTTTAGTAGCAATTGAACATTTTAATCTACCAATAGTTCATTAAATTCTTCAATAGAGTGTACTAAAATAATTACAAAATGACTGCCATTAAATATTCTATAGATTAAATTGGCCTAATTATACTTAGTAAAGCTAACACAGTGTCAAGGTTAGTTTAAGGAATATATCTTTTTGAGCTCCAGATACATCTAAAAGAAAGACAGAAGAGATTTCTCTAAACTGGCAGCAGCTCTTAAAACGTTAAGCCACGCCCCCATCCGCCCATATATCAACTGTCGATGGCTATAAAGCTCCGCATCTGCTGGTGCCCCCATTCCACCACCGCGGTTGTACAATCAACAAAATTAGTTTCATTTGGCCAAATGGCATGGCTTGGCAGTCGGAGCTTTTCGACCCACATAGCGGACTCGGCTTAGATAAAAATTGAGGGGGTCAGGCCGGGGTGAGAAATGACTGGGGTGGGTGGTTCTTTCGTCCTCTATATATCCCTGCTTTTGATGGCTAGCTTGCTTTCGCTTTTGATCTTTTCCAACTGCTGATAAATGATAAGATGCCGTCGCTGAAAGAAAAATGCTGCAAAGTGTAGGAAATTACGCCGCAGGTGTCTGCTGGTCCACCAGGCTAACCTGCAAACTTACTTCAAGGCTGCCGCAGAGCAAATAATTAAAAATTACTCAAACTGCTACGTGCGCTGCGACCAGAGTGGGCTAAAAATTGTAATTCAAAAGAAAACTTCGACGGTTATTCGACCCTCACCCAAAACAAAACTAAGTCATTGCCAATTAAAAGCACAAAATGTATATAAAAAGGAAATGTTTATTTTTTAACTGGCCAACCTGTTTGCTTTCCCGGAAAGAGGGTTCCTCGATGAAAAGATAAATACTAAGCAGATGGGAAAATGGTGGAAAGTGAGACGGGGACGTTGTCTGTCAACTTGTAGTAATAAATAATGGCCCGCTGCTGGCAATTTATGAATCTGCATTTATGGCAGCATCCTGTGCTGCGAGCTTGTAATTTATGCATCTAAAATATAGCTAAGCCTTTTTAAAGTCAGCTAATGAGCATCAAATTGCACCCAAGCGTCGAGGCCCTGGAATTTAAGGCAAAAACGTGAAGGCCAACAGAATATTTCGCATACGCCGTGTGGTCGCTGCGCTTTCGACTAAAAATTACGCATACGCCCCATTGGCATGCTGTTTTCTTTTTTCACAGTTGGCTTGAGACCGCGGTTGTGTTTACATAAAGGTTTCTGTGCCCCCCGTTTTGGTCAACTGACTGTCAATATTTTATTGGCTGCATGTCGCTTTTTATATTGCATCCCGCGTCCTCGCATATATGTATTTGCATAAATGTGTATGTTTACAGTGAAGCACAAAAGGAAAAGCTACCCATTTATGTATACATTTTATATATAAAACTCACTGAAACGAACATTTGCGGGACCAAGCAAATGCGCAATTTAATTTATGTCATGGGTGGAGGGAAAACGAAATAAAGAAACCAAAGGGAAAATGCTCGGAAATATATACTGATGGAGATGCAATGAATTTCATTTCAAATTTCATCATTAAAATATTACTGTTTTATGGTTTTTATAGATATTGGTAGAGTGGAAGAATTCTTCAGAAGCCAATACTAAATTCAAATAATAAATTAGTTAAAGATGTATCTTTTATTATCTTCCCCTTACATTTTTCCTTTTTCTCGCTTTTGGCTTACGTTTGCTCTCTAATTGAGTATTTTTCTGTGTTTTATTTTAATTAAAAGTACACTTGTCTCAGTTCCATTTTCCACCAGTTTAACCCATTTTTTTACGAGACGGTTCTCTGTTTCGGTTGGAACTCCTTCACAAAGTTTTGCACTTTCTTTTAGGTTTGAATTATCCTTCACCCGTACTATCCTTTCGGCAAGTGCATTGCCACTTCGATGCCCCTCATTCCAGAAGTCCTTCGTCCTTGCTTTCCATCAACACTCTCATCATTTCTTTTGTTTGGCGTTTTTTTGTTTTTAGTCATGTCATTCAGTAGGGTTATTCTTTACCGCCCGCCCATCCTGCATCCGTTCATTTTTTATGTCCTTTCTTTGTCCTTTTTGGATGGTTAGCGGGGTCGCTGTGAAGGAGGATCGTACTCGGGCACTTTTATGTGATGATGGTACCCCGGTTGCAGCTTCTGTTTTACATTGGCATACATATTTGCATTTTTTTCGACTGCCTTACCGCCCCTTAAAGCTCCTCCCATGCAACCCATTCCATTACTGCCGTATTTTTTCCTGATACGGGCACTCGTTTTAATTTCGTTTCCCGGCGTTTTGTTTTTCCCTTCCAGCTTTTTTCTTTCATTTGTTAGAGAAGGAATTGGCCAAAAGGGTTGGCTGAGCGGGCCGGGCGAGGTTTTGACGACAGTCCTACGAAATGGTAACTCCGTTTCGGCCAACCCGCCCATGGAAGTTGCATTTCAATTGAATTGTCAGCGTTTTGTCCTGAAAAACGTGTCATAAAACTTCATTTCGGTGAGCCTTTTTTTGTTGCCAGACTTGCTGATTAAATATTTGAACTGAGCTTATAAAAAAGAGCCATTGTGCTGAGTCCAATAATTCTTAATTTGGCAAGCGGTTTTTGTCTAATTTGCCATTTAAACCATATATAAACTATTTGTCCAAAAGTAAACAACTGTTTTCAATCTTTTTGTTGACATTTTTCGGAATGTTATTTTGGTTTGAGACCCACTCGATGCTCAATTAATTTATAATTTAAATGCACATTGTGCGGCTTAATTATGCCTATTATAGAGTCATCGCAGGCGTTGTTCGCCGGCTGTCAGTAAAGTTTGTCGGATTGGTGTTACAGCAGAAATAATTAATGTTTTCATTGCCTTTCGAATTCGCCGAATCTGGTGGCTGGCAGAGGATTTATCTGCAGTCCTGTCAGTTATTGGCCACTCGGGTGGGTGGATAGCCTAGATAGCGGGCGGAACTTTTCAGCTATCGAACTGGGGGAAAAAACTTTCAAAAAACCCGAAGTGCAGCTGTCAAAAATCGACAGCAGAAATTCCAGCTGGCAGAGAGAAGTGACCAAAAAAGCAGTCCAGCAACAACTTGAAGTAAACTTTAGGACAGTCTTGACATATTGCTAGTTGCTCACTTCCAGCTCACAACATAATTTTCCATTAGTTGGATAA